CTTCACAAGGAAAAATATTGCATCATCTTCAAGACACATGGCTTTTCGAGCCTAAATACCAAACTTCAGAAGATAAAGCTCATCTTCAAGACACATGGACTGATGGAAGATAAAGTGTTACCACTCCAATAACGTGGCAACTGACTCATAGCTAAGAAGAATTTGAAGGTGGTAAAAGAATATTATTATCTGCCTAAAGTCCGTTGTACATCATGTGTGGAGTTTGGCTTTCCACCTTTTTAAGAAAAATCTTAACACTGAATGGCACTTAGCATTAATAATTGAAAGAATTATGCAAGGGTTGATACATATATTAAGAATCAAGAAATGACTTAAATGAACCTTGGAAGACAATATTCCGAAATAACAGGGAATAACTCATAATCAGATAGCAATATTTGTCCAGGATCTCAGTAACTTCACCATGAAGTAGTTGATCATTTCCTACACAATCAAGATACACATCTGTTCACTTTCTAAGTCATATACATAATAAATTTCCTTAAGATAAAAAATCTACGTTCTTCTATCAACGAAAATGAACAAATTCAATTTAGTGAAAAGAAGAAAAAACATTTTTGAAATGATGTAACAATAATAAAGGAAAACAAAGTTCAAGAACTGTGGCCACAGACTCACACAAATATATACATGTATAACAGAGTGTGCAAATACATTATCATCGAAGAGAAGAATACAAATCATCCATGAACCCAAACCAATTAGAAGATAGCAATTGAAAATCAAGTATGCACGAAATGAAACGATAATTAGTTCAACTTGATTCATCAGCACAATAATGTCAAGTCAGCAAGCCAATCATGTAAGCCTCCAAACTAAGGGTCAATTCATAGGTCAACTGTTAGCAAAAGTTTCGTGTGCATTATATGTTAATAATCTTTTCTCGTGCCTCCTCATCCTGTGTACAATTGTGAAAGTGGACAATAGTGAGAAAGCAAAAATCCACTTTTATAACATGACTTGCATTCATTAACATTCATAGAGGCAATAGAATACAATTGTACTTCATACACATTAGCATGACTGTAATGCTATCTCCCAATGTAGGATAAGCAGCACTCAATTCAAAGTTTCCTTTTCCATCCAGAGATGCTGGGTAACAATTATAACTACTTCCCTTCAATTGGTAGAATTATAACTAAAAGGAATCCAAAAACTTAACGAAACAAGTCCAAGACATAAAGAGATTATATAGAAATACGAACACAAAATTCAAGTACCTGCAAACTAATTTGCTAGTAGAGGATTCTGTTTCTGCGCATCATGCTCTGAGCTAACCTGCATATAGATGAAATTTATTAAAATTTATTAAAGCAACATACTACAATCAAAATAATTAGAAAATGCATCATTAAGATTAGTATTGACGAAACTGAAACCTCAAAGGACGACATGGGCAGGAATTAAGAAGTGAATAGACTTCTTTTTAGCAGCATCATAGCCATGAAGTGAGTTCCATCAAATTGGTCTTTGTAAATTAAATAATGATAATTGTAATCTCAAA